ACAACATATCCCTGTTTCCGGGGGCATTATTGCCGTATTCACACAAAATATTTCTTGCACAATTTTTCCATAACATTTGCCCTTTCATCTTTCTCCTCCTAAATTGGGAGGCCTCTTTATCTTAGTTTCTCAATTGTCTTTGTTGTCTGGCCTGACTCTTACTCACATTGCTAAATAGTGGCTCAATGCCATAGCCTTTACTGGTCCTACACTCACACATTATACACAGTTTCAGGGTGTAATAATTAGTCATTAATAATTAATCTATCATTCTCCCATCTCCACAGACGAACTCTGGAGCTCTGTCAAAGTGACCATGGAGTTCTTGGTCACCTCCCTGACCAAGGGCCTTCTCCACTATTGCTCAGTTTGGCCGGGCAGCCAGCTCTAGGAAGAGTCTTGGTGGATCCAAACTTCTTCCATTTAAGAATGATGGAGACCACTGTGTTCTTGGGGACCTTCAATGTTGCAGACATTTTTTGATACCCTTCCCCAGATCTGTGCCTCGCCACAATCCTGTCTAGGAGTTAAGGAGAATTCCTTCGACCTCATGGCTTGTGTTTTGCTCTCACATGCGCTGTCAGCTGTGGGACCTTATATAGACAGGTGTGTGCCTTTCCAAATCATGTTGAATCAATTGAAATTACCACAGATGGACTCCAATCAAATTGTAGAAACATCTCAAGGATGATCAATGGAAACAAGATGCACACGAGCTCAATTTGGAGACTTGTAGCAAAGGGTCTGAATACTTATGTAAATAAGGTATGTTTTTTTGTTTGTATTTTACACATTTGCAAAAATCTCAAAAAAACTGTTTTTGCTTTGTCATTATGGGGTATTGTGTGTAGATTGATGAGGGAAAAAAACAATTTAATCAATTTTAGAATAAGTTTGTAACGTTAAAAAATGTGGAAAAAGACAAGGGGTCTGAATACTTTCTGAATGCACTGTAAATGGCCAAGTGGGTAACAGCAAGGCCAAGGTCTTTAGTGATGTCTCAGCGCTGACTAACCATTAGCTGTCTGTCAACGACACTGGGATTTACACAGAACAACATGAACTGCTTTAGTGCCACTGCACCAGTTGTATAACGCTCATAGACACTTAGCCTACCTACCTGTCTCTTTCTGACCTGTGTTCAATACTCACCTACCTGTCTCTTTCTGACCTGTGTTCAATACTCACCTACCTGTCTCTATCTTACTTCTGTTCAATACTCACCTACCTGTCTCTATCTTACCTGTGTTCAATACTCACCTACCTGTCTCTATCTTACCTGTGTTCAATACTCACCTACCTGTCTCTTTCTTACCTGTGTTCAATACTCACCTACCTGTCTCTATCTTACCTGTGTTCAATACTCACCTACCTGTCTCTTTCTGACCTGTGTTCAATACTCACCTACCTGTCTCTATCTTACCTGTTTTCAATACTCACCTACCTGTCTCTATCTTACCTGTGTTCAATACTCACCTACCTGTCTCTATCTTACCTGTGTTCAATACACACCTACCTGTCTCGTTCTTACCTGTGTTCAATACTCACCTACCTGTCTCTATCTTACCTGTGTTCAATACTCACCTACCTCTCTCTTTCTTACCTGTGTTCAATACACACCTACCTGTCTCGTTCTTACCTGTGTTCAATACTCACCTACCTGTCTCTATCTTACCTGTGTTCAATACTCACCTACCTGTCTCTATCTTACCTGTGTTCAATACTCACCTACCTGTCTCTATCTTACCTGTTTTCAATACTCACCTACCTGTCTCTATCTTACCTGTGTTCAACACTCACCTACCTGTCTCTTTCTTACCTGTGTTCAATACTCACCTACCTGTCTCTTTCTTACCTGTGTTCAATAATCACCTACCTGTCTCTTTCTTACCTGTGTTCAATAGTCACCTACCTGCTCTTTCTTACCTGTGTGCAACAATAATGGTGTTCATAAACTCCTGTGAGATTTATAGAGACATCAACACAGAGGAGAAAAAGCCCATCCAATGCTAAGTGATGTCAATGTTCTAGAACCACCCAGAGCTGTAGTATGAATACCAAGTAGATATCTGGTAGTTCAGAGGGTCACTCTTCTAGAACCACCCAGAGCTGTAGTATGCATACCAAGTAGATATCTGGTAGTTCAGAGGGTCACTGTTCTAGAACCACCCAGAGCTGTAGTATGAATACCAAGTAGATATCTGATAGTTCAGAGGGTCACTGTTCTAGAACCACCCAGAGCTGTAGTATGAATACCAAGTAGATATCTGGTAGTTAATAATAATAATAATAATATTCGGAGGGAAGGCTGAGCTGGGGACCTCGCTGTAGTTAGGCTGGGGGGCGGCCGCCTTGCTCCTGATTGGAGGGGTCATACTGTGCATCACTGTGGGAGTCTTTGGATGGATGATGGGAGTCATTGGATGGACAGTCTCCCTAGTGCCCTGTGCTATCTCTATATTGTGCCTATCCCATTAGTCTCATGTATACCCCTATAGGGACATATGGATGGATCTGAAGAAGATCACCTCCATCTACACCATCCTGGGAGCTCTAGGAGTGATGGGGTCCATCTTTGGGACCAAGTGCTGTAACTGCATCAAGATTAACAGGACCAGGGTAAAGGCCAGGTTCATCGTTGGAATATTCTTCATCCTGGCTGGTATCCACCAGCTCACCGCTGTAGAGCAGCACCGTAGATGTTCAAAATGAAAGGTTATCTTTCTTATACAACAATAAGCAATTTAACACTGTTAATTGTCTTTCTAAAGGGTGAACTTGGTGAGATAATGTTCAGAAAATCAGTTTAGGCAATTTGGTGAAAGTATTCCTTTTCTAAATATTGAACATTGCAGCAAAATATTTGAATATATTTTTCTACTAAATGGGATTATATGTACATCAACTTTTAAAGCAGCATTACTTCCCCATGTTTCCTCCAACTACAATGTCTGATAAATGCCATTTTGAAGCTCTGAGGCTGTGCTTTTATCTAATGTAAAAAACACAATTTCAATGTGGAAGGAGATGGTGGACATTGCTTTGAGAGTCATAGTATTGGTCATCTCCATAGTGGTGTGTGTTTTCTAGTTTGCAGAGTGACTGCTTTCATCGGAGCCAACATCGTCACCTCGCATATAACCTTGGAAATGATATAGAGGAGCTGTGTGGTCCATAGCATGGGCCAGATGCAGTGTAAGGTCTTCGACTCCATGCTGGCCTTACCCCAGGACCAGCAGGCCGTCAGAGCCATGACCATCATCGCCATCACCTTCTGGGTTCTGGGAGTCTCCATCGTCGGGGCCAAGTGCACCAACTGCATCAAGAACAAAAAGTCCAAAGCAAAAGTGATGATCATCTCCAGAATGTTCTTCATCCTGGCTGTAATCCTGGTCCTTGTTCCTGTCTCCTGGACAGCCAGCACCATTTGGGGGAGTGTGGGGCCTCGCTCTACATCGGCTGGGAGGCAGGGGCCCTGCTCCTGGTTGTGGGGGTTATTCTGTGCAGCTCCTGTCCCCCTAGTGAGATTGAAGTCATGTATCTAGGAGCCGTTGGATGGACAGTCTCCCTAGTGCACTGTGTTGTCTATAGAGTCGTTTCTTATGGACCCCCCAGTGGGGTCATGTGGGCTCTGATGACGATCACCTTCATCTCCACCATCCTGGGATCTCTGGGAGTGATGGGGTCCCTCTTTGGGACCAAGTGCTGTAACTGCATCAAGAGTAACAGGACTAGGGTCAAGGCCAGGGTTATCCTTGGAACATTCTTTATCCTGTCTGGAATCCTCCAGCTATCCACTGTCTTTTTGGTTGCCCATTACATGATACAGAATATCCCATTCCTGCTGGATCATTTGGGTGTTTTGGGTTACTTGGCTCAATTCAATAGGTGGTCCGCCTCCATGCTCCTGATAGGAGGGACCATACGTTGCTGCTGCATCTTCAAGAGGAACCAGCCAGACTCAACAACGACTCAATCAACCTCTCGCTAACAGCTCTGTCTGCAAAAGGTCATAGAGGAGTTTATGTCATATTGTGGTTGGGACCATAGTCTGGTGCAGCAGCTGCTGCTACTGCTTTAAGAGAGACATTCCCAACTTAACAACTCACTTAAATTCCATTACTGGTATCTCATATGATATTATGTTACCATATCACAGTGTTTCTCAATATTAGTGCACAGAATTAGTCCTCAAAAGGTCTTAGGGGAGCTTGTGCAATATTGCCATATTGCTTACTTCTGCTAGGGAAACAACAAAACAGTTGGGCTAGAAACTCACTAGTTCCTCACCCACAGTAACGGCCACACACTTCACCGCATCTGTACAGGTTGTGTTTCCATGGCAGCAGATGACATCAAGCACCCTTGGGCTTCTGACTGGCCGGGCTCTCTAGTATCACAGAAGAACTCTGCAACAAACATCTGTGAGAAAAGAACGTTGAACAATCTGCTGTTTTAGAACTTTGCTTGCAAAGAATGAAGCTGTAGGCCTGTAGCATCCAGGATCTTCTCTTGAAGTATAACATCTCCACTTTTCCGGAATCTGTTTGTTGAGTCACATCCTCATTCTTCCAGGAAGTGCATGTTGATGGGCATGGAGATCGTGGGCATCACTATGGGAGTCATAGGATGGATTATCTCCATAGTGGCCTGTGCTTTGTTTACATTGGAATTTATGGACTTTCCACATTACGGAGAGGTCAGACTAACTCGGATCATCACCTACTTCTCCAAAATTCTAGGGTTGCTAGGGATGATACTCTCCATCTCAGCTGCAGTGCACAAACTGTACCCAGAGAAGTATGAATATGTCTAAGGTTGAAGATCTTTGGCGGAATATTCTTCATCCTGGCTGGTCTCATCCAGCTTATCTTGATCTTCTTGGTTGCCCTTGACTTGACACTAAACTCAGACCATGAGAACTTCCTACGGAGTAATAACCTGATGTTCTCAGCTGAATTTCCTCCCGAGTGGCGCAGTGGTCTAAGGCACTGCATCGCAGTGCTAGCTGTGCCACTAGAGATCCTGGTTCGATCCAGGCTCTGTCGTAGCCGGCCGCGACCGGGAGACCCATGGGGCGGCGCACAATTGGCCCAGGGTAGGGAAGGGAATGGCTGGCAGGGTTGTGGGTTCGATTCCCACGGGGGGCCAGCATGAAAAATAAAAAAGTATAATGTATGCACTCACTAACTGTAAGTCGCTCTGGATAAGAGTGTCTGCTAAATGACTAAAATGTAAATTTAATAGGTGGGCCTCTTCACTGCTTCTGATAGGAGGGACCATAGTCTGCTGCTGCTTCATGAGAAAAGCCTGAGTTGACAACTGACTCTGATTCCCTAAATCGTGTCTTACACGACCATAATTTATCTGAGCCATTCTACCACTCTAAGCAATAGGTTGTAAGCAATACATACAGTATAGTTGGAAGCAATATGATGATTGATAATGGCTACACTTTAAATGTTAGTCTTCAATGCAGACTATGATCAGTTGAATCAGGTGTGTTACTGCCTGGCTGGAACAAAAGCCTGCACCCACACTGGCGCTTTAAGGGACTGATATTGTTCATGAATCAGTTACCACTTCCTTTTAAATACACTTGAGAGGGAAATGTAAGCATGCTGTCTAAGGGCTGGGGTTGAAGTGGGCTGTTTCTTTAGGTGGTGGAAATACCACCAAATTAAACTGATTTTCCATTTTAATTTACAATAAAATGCAACTATTATTAAATTGCAACTCTTGTGCTGTCTCCTGACTTCATTTGGTGGAACCTCGTTCTTCTTCGTACCCCGAGGTTGATTCTGAACAGGGCCAAGGTTTTATCATGGTCTAGGTAGTACGTACGTGGTCTGAGTAGATAACCAGAAGTTAATGGGTCAAAAATACGATTCCATCATCGCCCATGTAAGCTAGGGTGGACTTAGCGATTTGGGAGCCCATTTCAAAATGCCTTCGAGGGGACCCTCTACCCCCCAAAATGGACATTTCCCCTGTAAATGAAGTTCTATAATTAAAAATACCTATTTCATGTGTGTTTATTTTTTATTTAATTTCAGGCAATTATGAAATGTAAACGCGCTATAAAGCTATGGCTAACACATTTGGGTAAAAACAACTGTCAGAATCAGTCGGTAAGGGCCCCATGACAGCTGCGTACAAGTTACTTGTTGTTTTCACACCCATCACTTCCTGTCTGTTTCTTTCCTGCCAACCCTAGGCCAAGTTTACACCTGACATCTCTTATCGAACGCAGACACCAGCCTGACCTATTTACCATAAACGCTCAACTTCACGTCTGCTTCATTAATTTCTAACTATGGTTTCCTGTAAAAGGGCTAAATAAATTGGTCTATCTGTTCATACCAACTGATTTAGATTTAAACCTAACTGTTTTTTCCCCATTTTGTCACAGCTGCAGACGTAACTATGACTTCTTCCTAATATTTGATGGTAATTCTGAAGTTGAGTTGATATCACTAGGCTCCCCATTTCTACCTAGTTCCTTATTGGTGTCTGTGTCTGAGTAGTGAGGAACTACAAGGACATAGTTTTGATCTGGTTCTGTTCGTAAAGTCATTTTCAGTAGAAATGAAAAAGTCAGGGATGAACGGCATACAGTGTTGTATTTTTGTTTACAGCTCCTTTATTGCAGCAGGTCACCCTGGGATTGTCACGATCGTCTGAAGGAGGAGACCAATGTGCAGCGTTGCGAGTGAACATGATGACTTTATTAACTTAAAGCAACCACGAAGAAAACAACAAATGACGATCCGTGAAGTTCTATACTGAATACTACGAACAGCAACAAAGAAACAATAACCCACAAAACACAGGAGAAAACACACAGAATATATATGGCTCCCAATCAGAGATAACGAGCCGACAGCTGACACTCGTTACCTCCGATTGGGAGTCCTTAACCAATCACCAAAACACAAACAAATGAAACTCACCCAACCCAACACCACCAAATGAAATACACCCTGGCTCTAACACACAGTCCCGGAGCCAGAGTGTGACAGTACCCCCCCCTAAAGGTGCGCACTCCGGGCGCACCAGCATACAGTCTAGGGGAGGGTCTGGGTGGGCGTCTGTCCCCGGTGGCGGCTCTGGCCCCGGTCGTGATCCCCACCCCACCGCAGTCACAACCTGCTTCGGTAGCCTCCTCCACATTACCCCCCCCCCCAACTAAACCCCACTGGGTTAAGGGGCGGCCCCGGACTAAGGGGCAGCACCGGACTAATGGGCAGTACCGGACTAAGGGGCAGTACCAGGCTAAGGGGCAGCACCAGGATAAGGGACAGCACCAGGATAAGGGACAGCACCAGGATAAGGGACAGCACCAGGCTACGGGGCAGTACCGGACTAAGGGGCAGTACCGGACTAAGGGGCAGTACCAGGCTAAATGGCGGATCCTGGCTGGCTGGCTCTGGCGGATCCTGGCTGGACGGCTCTGGCGGATCCTGGCTGGACGGCTCTGGCGGACCCTGGCTGGACGGCTCATGGCTGGCTGACGGATCTGGCTGCTCATGGCTGGCTGACGGATCTGGCTGCTCATGGCTGGCTGACGGATCTGGCTGATCCCGTCTGGCGGAAGACTCTGGCTGCTCCTGTCTGGCGGAAGGCTCTGGCTGATCCGGTCTGACGGAAGGCTCTGGCTGCTCCTGTCTGGCGGAAGGCACTGGCTGATCCTGTCTGGCGGAAGGCTCTGGCTGATCCTGTCTGGCGGAAGGCTCTGGCTGATCCTGTCTGGCGGAAGGCTCTAGCGGCTCCGGTCTGGCGGACGGCTCTGAAGGCTCATGGCAGACGGGCGGCTTTGCAGGCTCAGTACAGACGGGCAGTTCAGACGGCGTTGGGCAGACGGGCAGTTCAGACGGCGTTGGGCAGACGGGCAGTTCAGACGGCGTTGGGCAGACGGGCAGTTCAGGCGCCGTTGGGCAGACGGGCAGTTCAGACGGCGTTGGGCAGACGGACAGTTCAGGCCCCGTTGGGCAGACGGCAGACTCTGGCCGTCTGAGGCGCACCGTAGGCCTGGTGCGTGGTGCCGGAACTGGAGGTACCGGGCTGAGGACCCGCATCTCAGGACTAGTGCGGGGAGAAGCAACAGGGCATGCTTGACCCTGGGGACGCACCGTAGGCCTGATGCGTGGTGCCGGAACTGGAGGTACCGGGCTGAGGACACGCATCTCAGGGCTAGTGCGGGGAGTCGGAACAGGGCATGCTGGACCCTGGGGACTCCCATAACGCCTAGTGCGGGGAGCCGGAACAGGGCATGCTGGACCCTGGGGACTCACCTCACGCCTAGTGCGGAGAGCAGGAACAGGCCGGGCTGGGCTGGCGACGCGCACCGTATCCCTGGTGCGAGTGGCCGGAACAGGCCGGGCCGGGCTGGCGAAGCGCACCGTATCCCTGGTGCGAGTGACCGGAACAGGCCGGGTCGGGCTGGCGTAGCACCCCGTGGACCTGGTGCTTGGAGTAGGAACAGGCCGGTCCGTACCGGGAACACACACCACTGGCCTCAACCGAGGATCAGGAACGGGCCGGACCGGACTGGCAACACACATCAGTCCTTCACGCCGTGCCACACACACTTCCCTCCTTCTACTCACCAATGGCTCCCGTACTCCGTTAGCCTTCTCTCCTTTTCTCCCTGTGGCAGCCTCCTGCTGCCCAGTCGCCCAAGCCATGTGCCCCCCCCCAAAAATTTCTTGGGGTTGCCTCTCTCTTCCTCTTGCCAGACTCGCAATCATCTCCTGCCACGTCCATCCTCTCTCCTCGTCCCGCTGCTTGATCCAGTCGAGGTTTCCACGGCGATCTGCCAGCGATGGCTCCTGAACACGCTGCTTGGTCTGGTTAAGGTGGGTTATTCTGTCACGATCGTCTGAAGGAGGAGACCAATGCGCAGCGTTGCGAGTGAACATGATGACTTTATTAACTTAAAGCAACCACGAAGAAAACAACAAATGACGATCCGTGAAGTTCTATACTGAA